CTGTTTGCATCTGTTTTATGGATTCCATTTGTTTCCTATGTTGGGATTCCATCATGTTCCTGAGCTCCTCTCTAGATTTATTAATGTCTTGCACTATGGGCACAATCTCTGCTGTTATCTGAGAAATTATTTCTGTTTTTATTTTTTCCAGATCCTCTTTTGTTGCCAGTTCAAGGAGTCCAGGTGGTTAAGTATCAGAGCGTTTCATCTCGTTTCCCTTTGGGGTTGCTGTAGGTGATCTGGAAGTCTGGTTTTGAGACTTGTTTACGTGTCTTCTAATTTTGGGGGGTGGGGTGCTTCTGGTGCCCACACGGCTCACCTCCTCTGTGCTTATGGGTGTGGTATGGTGGCCCGGAAGCCTCCTCTTGTGTGCTGGGAGCACCTCACCTCTTCTGTGCTGGCAGGGGTGGTACGGCGGCCCAGAAGCCTCCTCTTGTGCACTGGGAGTGGCTCCTTGACATATATTTTTTGGGGTTTGGCTGAGGTTTGCTTAGCTTCTTGAGTTTATAGGCTTATTTTTGTCAGATTTGAGAGTTTTCAAAACCATTATTTCTTCAGATATTTTTCAGATCTGCCTTTTTTTTGCTTTCTCTCCAGAACACTGGAGATATGAATGTTAGATATTCCCTTGAAGATAAAGTCCCTAACATTCTGTTTTTCGTTTGTTTTGTGTTGTTTCCTCTCTGCTGTTCAGCTGGGGAAATTTCTATTTTTCTCACTGATCCTTACCTCTTTTGTTCTGTCAGTTCTACTATTGTACTCTCTGAATTTTTATTTCAGTTATTGTATTTTTCAGTTCTTTTTTTTTTTTTTGGTACCAAGGATCGAACTCGGGACCTTGCGCTTTCGAGGCAGGCAGTGGTACCACTGAACTAAATCCCCGGCCCTTGTATTTTTTAGTTCTAAATTTTCCACTTACTGATAGTTCTACTTTACATTTTCAATTTCTTTGCTGAGACTTTGTTTCCTTGCCAAGAATTTCAGTTCTTTGCTGAGTTTCTGCTTTTTAAAATTCATTTTAAATTTGTTTACAGTCGCTTATTGAAGTACTCGTGTTTGTTTTAAAATGTCACGTAATGCTTACCTCTCTTACTTTAGTCTTGACATCTACAGCTTGTCTCTTTTCATTAAAGCTTAGAGTTTTCTGGATCATAGTATGAATAATTTGTTATTGGAAACTGGACAGTTTGGGTCTTGTGTTCCAAGTCTGTCTAGATCTTTCGGAAACATGTTCTAGCTGACTTCCCTTGACATTTCTTTGGTTGTAGGTAGGTGAGGATACCTTGTTACAGAAATGGGTTAGATGTCTGGGCTTTCCATTCATTCTCTTTTGGTGTCATTGTTGGGTAGGAGTAGCACTTTCTGCTTTCACTGGATACTACTCACACCACTATGGCTAGGACAGGCAGTAGCGTTTATTGCTCTTCTTTGTGGCCTCCATTAGCACACAAGAGTATGTGATCCTGTCACACTGGGCAGTGGTGTAAGTCCTTACTCTACCAGGCTTTCTTTGACACAGCCCAGCCATAAGAGCAAGGTGAGCCTGTTGCCTCTGTAGGAGGTGGATCACCAGATTCCTTAAGTGATCTCTCTTGATGCAGTGGGTGAGGCACTCATCGTGCAGCAGGTATGGAAATCCTAACTCCCTGTCAGACCTTTCTGACCCTGTCTTGATGGGGAGAGCTGGGTGCTTTGTTCTAGCCTTGGTGAGGGTAGAAGCCCAGCTCCCCGTTAGCCTTTAGCTGCTGGGGTGTGGCTGGTACCAGAGTTTTCCATGCAGAGCTTGGCTGGAGTAGAGCACTTGCTATCTAGGTATATCCCCTTTCTTGTGTTCTTTGGCTGGGGAGAGTCAGCTTTTTGTTGAGGACCTCCCGACATTCCGCTCACCTTTATGCATCTGGGTTGAGAAATTCTCTTGTTGCAAGTCTGGAATATATAAGGCAAAAAGAAATTTGAGGTAATTCACTGTCTTGCTGTTCCTTAGGTTGTGAAGACCCAAGTGGTCTGCTTTTCTTTTCTTTCACTTTTATAGAATCTTCCTGTTTGCCTGATGTGTAATTTCCAAGGTTATCAGTTGTACTCAGTAGGAAGAGTGGGACAAGTATGTCTACTGCCTCTTTCTGGCAGTGGAAGTGGAGAACTGTTTCATGTTCTTATTGGCTATTCTTGTATCTTCCTTTGTGAAATGTCTCATCAATTTTATTTTTTCCCATTCACTTGAGGGTGTTTTGTCTTTTTAGTATTGAGATTTAGAACTTCTTTATATATTTTAGGTATCAGTTTTGTCAAACATGTTCTGTAAATATTTTCTTAGTGTCACTTGCCTATACATTTTCTTAACAGTGTCTTTGATGTATCAGATATTTCTTTTATGGTTATTCCTTTTTGTATCATGTCCAAAACTCTTTGCAAGCTCTGGAATGTAAAGACATTCCTCTCACTCCTCTTCTAGCAGCTTTCTAATTTAAGCATTTCTCTTATGTCTGTGATCTGTGTCAATATATGTGAGGTTCTTTTTGTTCGTATGGATATCCATAGATGGAAAGATTTAACTTTTTTTGTTGAATTGCTTTCTTCCCACTTTCAGGAACATGACCATAGTGTATTATGGGTAGGAAGGATAGAATGCTTCTGAGAGAAAGTAACATAAATTTTGGAACTTAAACACTCAGTTTCAAATTTCTACCCCCACATTTTGTGGCTGTTTTATTTTTAGAAGTTGCTTAACTTCTTTAAGGGCAAATGTACTTATTTATAGAAATAGTAATTATCTCTGACTTCTAGTATAGCCTTTGAGGAGACTGTAAATGAGATAACATAAAATGATAATAATTTAGTTACTGTCTTTTGAGTGTTTATATGTGCTAGCCATTCATTATTTTATTTAATATCTGTAATATATGGAAAGTGTTGCTTTACCTGTTACTAGTCATTTGGTTCAGAGGCATAGATTAGAGCACCATTTACTTAATACATACCTGCACAGAGCGAGTTTCAGTGTTTTTATTCCAATTGAACATCTTGAAAAATATCATGTTTTAATTGTTGTTGCTGTACAACTCCATGTTTATGACACGTCCTTTATAGGTTTGCCTGAATACTTTTTCTTTCTTGAATTAGACTAGCAGTATTATATTAAATAGTATATTTTCAGCCTTGATAAGAATGCCATGAATCTTTTATTGTGACTAATATATATTTATGTATAGGTTTTCTGGGTCTGTATATTAGTTTTCTGTGGCTATTATGGCAAACTGCCACCTTTTTAGTGGCTTAACAATAAAAATGTATTCTCCCTCACTACAAGTGCCAGAAGTCTGAAATGCATATCATGGGGCCGAAGTCAAGGTTCTAGTGGGGCTGTGCCCTTTCAGAAGTCCTAGAGGAGAACCAGTTCTTCGCCTCTTCCAGGTTGTGGTGATATCTGCCATTCCTTGACTTTTTGCCACATCACTTATATCTTTAAGGCTCGAATCTTCGCAGTTCTCTCCACTTCATTTTCACTTGCCTTCTTTCTCTGTTTCTGTGGCCCAAATCTCCCTCTGTGTCCTTATAGGAACACATGGGATTACACTTAGGACCCACCCAGATGATCCACCCACATGATTAAGGTCCTTAATCCAGTGTGTAAAGACTCTTATTTTACTTTATTTTCCATGTAAATTAGCAAGTGTCCATGGGTTGGGTGTGAAAAATATTTGGATCAGATTGTTTAGCCTACCACAATCTGGTTATGTATTTTTACTAAGATAATCAACAATAACAACAAATAAAATTAAATCACTGGTTAGAAACTTGGCAATAAAAAATTCTAAAGATATAAAAAAATCATTCCGATGAATACTTTGAAAACTATAAAATGTAACAACTGTTAATTATAATTGTTTTTGTGTGAGAGTTAGGGGCAGAGTCTAAGCAAGAAAGTTAAAGAGAGTATGACCAAAAGCATAAAGGAGAAGTATAAGGCCAACATTTTGTGGCTTCTTTAGCATAGCTGGTTGAATATCTTTCAGAATTTTAGAAAGATACAGATTAAACACATATTATATTAAAATATTTTTCTTTGCTTAAAGTTTTATAATTCTTATTCTCACGTCTTTCTGTCCGCCTCTTATTCCCTCCTCTTTATGAAGGTGCCCCTTAGTGAAGCAGTGGATCCCGTGGATTTGGAAGATTATCTCATTACTCATCCTTTAGCTGTGGATTCTGGGCCTTTGAGGGATTTGATTGAATTTCCTCCAGATGATATTGAAGTTGTATATAGTCCTAGGGAATGCAGAACCCTCGTTTCAGCTGTGCCTGAGGAAAGGTAAGGAGATGTTACTTCTTTGGTATTTGGGTAATGATAGAAAGACTGTCTTCCATTATTTTATCTAGATCCTATTTCTTGTGGTGGTCTCTTTTCCTGTTATAAGAACAAAAACTCTGACAACCAAATTATCAAACATCTTTGTTTTCCTATCTAAATTTAAAATACGTTTTCTTTTTTAAAACAGTGAAATGGATCCACATGTTAGAGATTGTATAAGAAGTTATACAGAAGACTGGGCAGTTGTGATCAGAAAGTAAGTTTTATGTTTATTGTAAGGCTTAAAAATACTGGGTAGTGTTTGTAAATGGATTAATAATAATGAGACTTGAAAATTTATAAATTTATTATATTTATAAAATAGTCAAGAAGAATCTTTTACATAGATATTTTATCTTTTGGTGTTATATAATTACATTTGCTTATTTTTCTTATAAAATATTAGGTTTGTGTAATAGTATTTCTAAATTATCACAAATCATTAAGAACTAATATATAATGGTAATGATTTTATAGTCTGATTTTTTTAGGAAATCATGGGTAGGTATTATGAGTAATTTGCTTTTCTTCAAAAAGATTTCAGTTTAGTGAAACATAAAGAGTCCATTTTCCAGATTCTCCTATTTGAAGGTTTCTGCTTTTTATTACCTATCCAAATACTTATAGGTCCTTGACCTTTACATCCAATCAGGTAAATATTTGTAAAAGTGCTATTTTGTTATACCACATAATTTATTTTTCTAGTGGACTGTGTTTGAAATATCAACTCAGAATAAGAAACAGGAAACTCCTTTTCCCTTGCTAATGCGCATAGTAAAAAGGGTCTTCATACTGAAACTTCATAGCCTTATAATTTTCTAAAGGAGACATATAATAACAAGTACTAGAGTATTCTGTTATGCTGTTATGGTTTTCACAAGTGAAGTAGTCTGTGCCAGACAATACTAGAAAATATGATCTATCCATTGCTTATCTTGCTCTCATGTTTCTATCTTGTTTCACTGGGCATAATATTATGCTAAGGATCATTCTGGAGGGCAGTGCTGACATACTTTTTAGTTTTACTGTGGACTAATAAGAGCACAATTTGCCACTCTTTATATAGAAGAACTGTTTTTATTGACTTAGAATTTTGGTAAACATTCCAGTAGTCAGATTTTAGACATTACTGAAGGAAACTGTTCCTCTGTTAATTCAAAGGCCATTACTTGTATGCATATGTGTTGGAAATCAATAATAAAAAATCTTAAGAAACAAGTTGTAAAATATCTTGACCACAGAATCATGGAATCTTCTAATTTGGGGGTTGCTAAGCTTGGTTTGGGCAAGCGGGTAAGGGAGAGAACATTTTTGGGTACTTACCTACCTGCTGGGTATTTTACTGGGGACTTCAGACTCATCCCACTTAAAGTTCTAACAGATAAGGTAGCTCAAACTCAGAATAGTTAAGTAACTTCTCGGATGTCCTATAAACTAGAAAGTGAAGTGACTGGAATTACAGCCTAGGGGCACCAGGTTCTAAAGTTTATATTTTTATGTTATAGTGAATATTAGTTATCTGCTCAGGTAAGTAGAAGATAAAAGGGATACTTTTGGTGGACTAGAAATTCAAAGTATCTCTGAAAGATACAAGATAGATGTGAATGAAACATAGAAGAGGACTACAGTACAGACTAATCTGTGGGGAAGACACATGCAGAAGCTTCAGTAGAGTTTGAAAAGCTTAAAAGCAGTGATTGCAGGCACTGGAAAAGGGAGCTGGGACAAATGTTGGACATTTGGTTACTTTGAAAGCCCACTTCATGTGTGTACAGCAGTGTGCTGCAGAGATTCCTGCTCCCTTTCAGGAGCACTGATTCTGGATGCTTCAGCTTATGGCGTGGTGTCCAAGGTGGGCACAGTCTGGAGTGGAAGGGGCCCTCACACCCAGAACTAGCTACTGGCAGACTTGCCCTGGCAGCATGCTTTGCCTTTTCCCCACAGCCACTTGAATCTGGTCTGGGATTAGCAATTCAGGATAGATGAGGAGGTTACAAATTCAGAAAGGAACATTGAGCACAGAATTGCCAAGTATCGGATTTGAAGAAAGCCAATGCACTTAAAGAGAATTATCAGTCTACAAATAAAAGAACTAACAATTTAGGAAATAGTCAGTACAGCCCAAATTAGCACTCATACTATAATGAGTACATTTACATATTAGTTTATATAAGAGATGTGAAAGGATATTATGTCCATACAAAAATCAATGTTATCTCTAAAAATTAAAGTTATGCTCAGTGAAAAAAATATTAACTGAGCAGATAGCTTATTGGCAGAGTAGATGTGACTGAAGTGAAATAGTGAGCTATAAGATGAAGCCATACAGTTCTTCCATAATTCAGTAAAAATCGGTAAAATGACAGAAAGTACACATACTTCTCGAGGGTCCCAAATGTACGAGGCACTGTACTTGACGCTGATGACACAACAGTGTCCACAGCCAACTCCCTGCTTGGGTGGAGCTCATGTTCCTTGTATTCTAGTAGAGAAGAGGTCAAGGTCAGGAACCGGGCACAGAGAATGTATTAGAGTTGGGGGGAAGGCACATCTTATGGAGGAAAGCAGGGTGAGGGGTGTGAAGGGCCAAGTTGGGGAACAAGCTTTTCTGTTTTGGATCAGTAGTCAGACACCTTACTGATGAGGTGGTTTTGAGCAGAGAACTGAAGGAAGTGAGAGTGAGCCCTGTGGCCAACTGGGAGAAGGATGTTAATAGGCAGGGCATTCCCACGAGTTGGCCTCGTGCTGTCAGTGTTTAAGAAATGGTACAGAGGTCAGTGAGGCTGGGACAGAATGGGCGAAGCTGAGAGTGTTGGGCAGTGAGGTCAGAAAAATGGTGGTCCAACTGGGGCTGGGTGGGCACTGTGTAGAGCTGTACTCATAACATGGGAAAGAATGTGGCTTATGAATCATTTTTTCTCAGGTGTCCCGACTTTCCTAAAATGTAACACTTTTACCAGAGCTACTTACATATGCAACTTAACAAATTACATACTTGAAATGTATCATGGAAGAATAAGATAGTGCTTCTGTATCCTTTCATTCTACTACCGTATTTCCCTGAAAATAAGACCAAGTCTTACATTAATTTTTGCTATAAAAGACGAAGTAGGGCTTATTTTCAGTGGTTGTCTTATTTTTTTCATGTACAACAATGTACATTTATTCATGTATAGAAATCCACACTTATTCAGGTACAGTCATGTCATCTTCTGTGACATCATCATAACTCTCCAAACTCTGAATTCCTGCCTGAATTTATTACGACTCCATTTCCTGTGGAACCATTGGTCCCAGTCTCTTGTGTCCAGCAGTAGAGCTCTCCCTAAGTGAGCACTTTCTGTCCATGTAGGCTGCTTGTAGTGCATCATTACAGCACGTGATGTGTTGACTTGTAATGACTCATGTTAGGCACAACCGTGTCCATTCATCACCACATGTGGATGCCATTTGTGCTTTGTGTTTTGTGTCTGTGTCTAGTTGGTTGTTGGGCAAGAAGTCCAGAGTTTATTCGCTCACATGGGCATTCACTTCCCATCTGGTGGTGCCCACTTTCATTTTTACATACTTAATTATAATTTATATTATATATTTAAGTAGTAATGTCAATAGTATTATGTTTGTTTAATTGTATATTAGTATTATTTTATATTCAATACATCTGTCTTGTGTTGCAGCGGACATACTAAGTGCATCTGTCTGGCTGATGATCTTAACTAGGGCTTATTTTTGGGGTATTGTGCGCATCCTGAAAAATCCTGCCAGAACTTATTTTCTGTCTAGGTCTTATTTTTGGGGACTTACGGTATATTGAGCCTTTATTCTAGTTTTTTCAGAAAAGAATATTTTTTAAATTTTGTGTTTGTGCTGTGATATAAACATCATGAAACTTATTTTAATAGCTTTAGCAACAAGACAGAATGTGAGTGATGCATATAAATGTGATTATTATTTGATGAATTGATTGATTGTAAGAACCATGCCATTTTCTGGTAATATAATTGTTTTGTTCTAATTAAAATATTCTCCTGGTTTTGAGTCACTGAGGTTGAATCATAAACAGTAATTGTTTTTTGATCAGTTCTTATTTGATGTTCCTGAATATTGGGTTACTAGGAAAGGTTACATTAATTTAAAAGCTGTTCTTAGCAACTTAAATAATATTTAATTAAATAATACTTTAATAACTTTAATAATATATGTGTCTTAGCTACTTTCTTAATGCTGGGACACAATACTGAACACCCACAATTCAAAGGAGGAAAGTTCTGTTTTGGCTCACAATTTATAGAGATATCAGTCCATAGTCGGCTGTCTCCAAGGCGTGGCAGAGGGGCCTGGCAGAGAATTGCTCATTTGCAAGGCTAGCAGGAAGCAGAGAGAGATCAAGGGAGGTGGGAGGGAGATGAACCCTTCAGGCCATGATCCCAGTGACCACCACCTCTGACCACTCTGTCTTCACCTCTCAATGTCACATTTAGCCATAAACTTGTCAGTGGACTCATCCAGGGATGAATGTCACGCCCCCATGGTCCATGATCCATAATCCTATGGGCCCATGGGGCTTTGGGAGGACATCTAGATATAAACCATATCAATATGTATAGAATGGTGTATAGATTTTTCTGATTTTCATTTTACAAGTTTGCAGTTTAGATAATGAGATATATTAAAACTTAAAATTAACTGACTTATATTTTTATATTTAAAAATTTATATTAATGATAATATACATTCTACTTTTTCATTTTATTTTTTAATTTGGATTCCTTTTTTTTTCCTGGCCCTATTCTCTGAATTGAAACTACAGCTTAAGTTATATGCAAATGGTTGGCATGGTAAAAAGGAAAATATGGTTAATTCTGGAAACCCATAATCTGCTTTGCAGTTGGATTAAAAGGAACTTTGAATGGAAATTTGTTAAACCTCTGGTTAAATGTTTAACACATTGAAGACTGATAGAATACATTGTTATGTAAAGAATAATGCAGAGAATATTTGCCTTGCTACGCAATGATGCTGAAAAAGTGAAAAAGTTTTAAAAATTGATGTTTATCTATTTTTATCTTGAACAGGTATCATAAACTGGGAACAGGATTTAATCCCAATACATTAGATAAGCAGAAAGAAAGGCAAAAAGGTTTGGCAAAGCAGGTCTTTGAATCTGATGAAGTTCCAGATGGCAACAGTTACCAGGATGAGCAAGTAATACTTTTATTCTTAAATGACTCTTAAGAAGTATTTTAAGTAGCTAATTATTAGTAATTGATAAATTCATATTTAATGTTTTGCATGACAGGATGATCTTAAAAGACGTTCAGTGTCAATAGATGATACTCCAAGGGGAAGCTGGGCCTGCAGCATTTTTGATTTGAAAAACTCACTTCCTGATGCCTTGCTTCCTAACTTACTTGATCGAACTCCAAATGAAGAAATAGACCGTCAGAATGATGATCAAAGGAAATCAAATCGTCACAAGGAGCTCTTTGCTTTGCATCCATCACCAGATGAGGTATCATTGTTTGCATATAAAGAAGTTATTGACTATTGAGGTAGATCTTTTGGCTTTATGATTTGTATATAGCAGTGGTGGTGAACCTATGGCACGTGTGCCACAGTGGGGTGTTTGTGTCATTTAAAGCTTGAAAGGTTTGTCATCACTGATACATAGTATTATAATAATGTTGGAAATAAACTGTAAATATCTGTACATTTTGTAAGTGAAATATTTTTATACTAGTGAACTTATTCTTAATTACTTTTATGAATTGAGTGCACCAATGATCCAATAATGTCTGGAAAAAAAGGTCATTCCTGTGTTTAATTGTGAAAATTAAAAATACTAGATTAGTGAAGTAAGTTCTTAAGAAGATAAATTGTAGCCGGGGATTTAGCTCAGTGGTTCCACTGCCTGCCTTGCAAGTGCAAGGACCCGAGTTCGATCCCTGGTACCAAAAAAAAAAAAAGATAAATTGTAAAGTATTAAAATATGATAAGCATATTCATTTTAGTGTTGCTTCTCACTTTATAGGAAGAACCAATAGAAAGGCTTAGTGTTCCTGATGTACCCAGAGAACATTTTGGTCAAAGACTTCTTGTAAAATGTTTATCACTCAAGTGAGTATTTATTTCTTTTAGTGTATTATTATTTTTCCAGGATAATATTTTGACTATTTGTACAATAAAACTTAAATAGATATTATACTTTTATCTGTGTCCTTTTGAGAAGTATTTTTCTATACATCATTTTAAATGCCATTCAGCATTCAAACATATGTATGAAGCTAATCTTTAGGACGCTTTTGCTTCACAGTGAAGGTAACTCTTTGCCTTGGCTGTATTATAATTAGTCTGTAAACCTGGAAAACATTCACTAAAATTATTTGCCACTATTCTTAATTGGGGAATATAAAGATGAAGTATATTTTGCCCTAAAGAGTTGATTTTATATTTGTTACAATATAGGCTTTGTTTTTTTAAGATTTCAAAATATTTTTTTTGCCTTTAATAAGTGACTTCTCATATCATTGAGGTAATATATATTTACATTCTGCATTACAAAGTGCTTTCTCTTATTTCATGCTATCTTCAGAGTAATTTTATAAGGTAGATATTATTTTCTTGATTTTGCAAATGAGGATACCTGGACTCAAAAGGATTAGCAGAGATTAACAGGCATTGGATGTTATACATCCAATAACTGAAAACCAAACTATGTCTTGGCAAAACATGTTAATATCATAAATCAATGATTAGTTTTGACTTTAAAAAATTTAGTTCATACAGCATCTGCACGCCTATTACAGGCTTTTTTTACTGTTATGTATCACAAAATTCCTTTTCAAAATGTACAGATGGCTAGTATGTACTCATAGTGTTGTGCAGCTTATCACAGCAGTCTAGTTCTAGAGCATATTCCGTACCCAGAGGAACCAGTACCTGTGTTAGGTTTCTTGTGCTGCGTATCAGAAAACACCATTCACTGTGTGGTTTACGTGACAGAAGTTCCTTTCTCACAGTTCTGAAACTGGAAGTCAGATATCACGGTGCCAGTGGGGTGGCTTTGGCTGAGGTCTTTTTTCCTGGCTTATAGTTACCTTCTCCCTGCTTCTCACATAGTCTTTCTTTCTTCCCTGTGTGCATGAAAAGCAGAAGGCTCTGGTGGCTCCTCTCTTATAAAGACACTGATTTCATGGAAGTGCTGTCTTACCTTAGAAATTCATTTAACTTAATTACCTCCTTATAGGCCACATCTCCACATATAGCCACATTAAGTGTTAGGACTCTAGCATAAGAATTTTAGGAGGACACAGTTCAGTTCGTAACAAAATAATTATTAGCAGTTACTTCTGCTTTCTTTTCCCCTTAACCTGTGGCAGTGACTAACTTGCTTTCTATTTCTGTGAGTGCACCTTCCTGGATACTTAAGTAAATAGAATTATACAGTGTGACTTTTGTATTTGGCTTCTTCACATAGTATGTTTTTATGGTTCATCAGTGTCAGTAGTTCATTCCTTAGTATGGCTAAACAGTGTCTGACTGTGTGCTATACCATGTTTGTTTATACATCAATTGATGAACATGTGGGGTGTTTCCACTTTTTAAAAAAAGCTTTATTGAGCAGTAATTCCCATGTTATGCAGTTTTTCTAGTGTATATCCAAGCGTTCAGTTCACCTGTGAATTTAAATCTGTCTTAGTTACTTTCTTGTCTCTGAGACACAACACCCAACACTTGAAAGTTAAAGGAGGAGAGGTTTCTTGTGGCTCACAGTTTATAGAAGTTTCAGGCCATAGTTGGCTGGCTTTAAGTCAAAGTGGCATGGCAGAAGGGGCCTGGCAGAGGAGAGACAGCTCACTTATAGCAAGGCAGGCAGGAGGAAGAGGGAAAAATCAGGGGAGCAGTGAGGGGGAAGAGATAGATCCTTCCAGGCCACGCTCTCTGTGACCCACCTCCTCCAACCAGGCTTCACCTCCCAAGGTCATATTGAGCTATATTGTGCCCCTGTGACCCAGTCACCTCTCAGAGGCCCCACCTGTCCCTGCATAAGGCTTTGGGGGGCATCTAAATATAAACCATAACACCCAGTATACCATTAAATAGGTTTTAAAATGTTCACAGATTTGTGCAGCTTTTATCACAGTAAATTTTAGAGGACTTTTGTCACCCTCTGTCTGTCTCTGTATCTATCTCTGTGAGTGTGTGTGTGTGTGTGTGTGTGTGTGTGTGTGTGAAGGAAACTTGACCACTACATCCCATCATATGCAAAATATTATTCACAGATTGATAGTAAACTTAAATCTGAAAGACAAAACAGTAAAGTTTCTAGAAGACAATGTCAGGACACCTTTGTGAATTTATAGAAAGGATTCTGTAACATGGTGCAGAAAGCTCTCCCCTAGAGGAAAATTGATACATTTTACTTCATTAAAATTGACCACTTTTGTTTAAAAAAAATAATGAAGGCAAGCCATGGCGGGGGAAACAATATTTCCAACACACATATTTGACAGTGTGGTGATATCCGTAATACATAATTACTCAGTGATGAAAAAGTGTTAGCAATAGACAGAAAATGGGTCAAAAGAGGATGTCCAAATGGTCAGTGCATGTGTGAGAAGTTGTGTGAAGTTGCGAACCCAGCAGTCCAGTGCAATACATTACCCATTAGAGCAGCAGCATCAAATGCCATAGAAGATGCAGAAGAAGTTTTGCAGAGGCTGACAGTATCACATCCATAAGGTCCTTTTCTTTTTTGGCTCCTGGTTGGCTTAGCAGGAAGCTATAGAGTGGAAGAGAGTAAGATCTGGGGTGGGGTGTTCCTTTCCCTTGCTCTTTCCCGATAAGTTGCTTTGATTGTTTCCTCCTTTTCTCCAAGGCCACAGCTTCTGTGCAGGGCCTTCTATTCCACTGTCCTTCCTCGTTTTTGGTTACCACTTCCATGTTCTCTTTCAGTCTGAGGTTGGTGATGCTTCCCGCTAATGCTCATCCCATGGGATGGTCATTCTGTGTCTTTGAATTTCTATCTACATCTTTATAGATGACCTTTATCAAAGTCTTAGCCCTGTGGGAATATGCTGTCTGTCTCCTACAAGGACCCTGACCAGTTCTTAGAATTCAGAAGCAAGTGACATAGAGTGGGGTTATTAAAACTTCAGCACTAGTGACATTATTTTCTGGATAGTTTTTTGTTTTCACAGGCTATCCTATATAATGTAGGATGTTTAGTCAGGTCACAGGCTTCTAGTTGGTAAATGCCAGTACTACTGCTGCAGTTGTGACAATTGGAAATGTCTGTAGCTGTTGGCAGATGTCCTCTTGAGTGCAGAATTGCCCTTGGATGAGAACCAACGCTCCAGTCGTAGTTTTTATGTTATGTATTATTTCAGTCAATAGATATTTACTAAATATTTATGTATGTAAACCATAATTAAATACCTCAAGTCTGAAGTTATAAAATAAATTTTGACATATTCATAAAATAGAAATTATGTCAGTATGAAAATTGATAATATTTATGACATGGACATTTGTCCATAAAATGTTTAAAAAGACTACCAAATATCATGTATAATGTGACACTTTTTGTTTAAAAATTTTTTTTTTTCTGGTTTCTGATCAAACTCAGGACTTTGAGCTTGCCACTCTGAGCTATATCCCTGGCCCTTTGTTTAAAAAATTTTTTATGAGTGCATTTGTGTGCAGAGAAAAGTCTAGATTTTTTAGACACTAAACCATTAATTAAGGTTCGTTTCACGTAGTGGAATTTTGGATTTTCCTCTGAATATTTATTTGCACTGAATATATGATTAATAATCTAAAAACATTAGGTCTTTATTTTTAAAGTTTATTTAAAAATGAACAAATCTGTATATATAAAGACGAAAATACAGACTAGGAAGTGATTAGTGCCACAAAATAGACCTAAACTGTTGTGAGGCTTTTAGGAAATTTGAGATCAGCTGTAGCTGGAGAAATGAAGTAGAGTTAGAGGAGAGATGGTTGATTTAGACTGTGTGAGATAAAGATATGCATGGGAAAATGGATTTTAGGGAGAATGTAATGTAGGCAGAAATGCAGAGGTAGAAGACTGCAAGGTATTGAGAATATTTAATTTTGGAATCAGAATTTTTATCCAGCTATGTCTTTTTTATTTTATGAAAGATAAAACATTTTCATAACCAAATAATAAATAGTTATTACATTGTATGTCATTGTCTTCAAAGTAGTTAATATAAGACATAAACCAAAAACATTCTTACAAGAAAGAAACAAATAATAAATAACACAAACTTTCTTTTTAGCCGAGATAAACTGTTAGTATAAGTGAAACAAATTAGCATATATAGAGATATTTTTAAAACAATGGAATATGAAATTTGGGGAAGTATTTGAACTTCTCCCTACTTCTACACTTGATCTTAGCCAAAAGGCTGAGAAGCAATTCCCCTACTTCTTATTTATCTCTTTTCTATTTTGTTCTTTATTTGTGCGTACACACACACACACATATACATGCATGGTATTTCTCAAAAAGCATGCAATATTTGAGTTTGTGTGTCTGACTTATTTCACTTAACATGTTCTCAGGTTGCATCCATTTACCTGCAAATACCTCAAGTTTATCTTTTCTTTATGGCAACATGGTACTCCATTGTGTATAAATAGCACTTTCCTTATCCATGCATCTGTGGATGGATATATACGTTGCTTCCAAGATCTAGCTGTTATAAATTGTGCTGCTATAAACATGGGTATGCATGTATCTCTGTAATATGATGTTTTTAACTCTTTCGGGAAAGTACCTAGGAGGGGCCTAGCTGGGTCAAATGGAATTTCTGCTTTTAATTTTTTGAGGAATCTCCGCACTGATTTCCATAGTGGCTGTACTAGTTTACATTCCCACCAGCAAAGTAGTAGAGTTCCTTTTCCCCCATATCCTCACCAGCATTGGTTATTATTAGATTTTTTGATGATAGCCATTATTTCTAGGGAAGGTGGTATCTTCTAGTTTTTATTTGTATTTCTCTGGTGGCCAGTCACAATGAGCATTTTTTCATGTATTTATTGGCCATTTGTACTACTTCTTCTGAGAAGTATCTGTTCATTTTGGTTGCCCTTCTTTTGTTTGGATCTCTTATTTGAGAGGAGTCTAATTTTTTTTAAGTTCTTTATGTTCCCCCCACCCCCAACCAGGGATGGAACTCAGGACCTTGTGCTTGCGAGGCAGGCGCGGTGCCACTGAGTTAAATCCCTGGCCTAAGTTTTTTATATATTCTTTTTGTTTTGTTTTGTTTTGTTTTTGGTACCCGGGATCGAACTCGGGTCCTTATGCTTGCGGGGCAGGCAGCGGAACCACTGAGCTAAATCCCCGGCCCTTCTTTATATATTCTTGATGTTAGTCCTCTGTGGAATAGTTGGCAAAAATTTTTCCTGTCCTGTAGATTTTCTCTTTAATCTGTTGGTGGTTTCCTTGGCTGTGCAGAAGCTTTTTAATTGTTAACATCCCATTTGTTGATTCTTGGTATTATTTCTTGTGTCATTGGGGTTCTGTTCAGAAAGTCCTTGCCTACACTTGTGTCTCCAAGAGTTGTACCTATTTTATCTTCCAGCAGATTAAGCATTTCTGTTTTAACATTTAGATCTTTAATCTATTTTGATTTTAGTTTAGTACATGGTGAGATATATGGATCTAGACCCAATCTCCTGCATGTGGATATCCAGTTTTCCCAGCACCATACTTACTAAAGAGGCTGTCTTTCCTCCAGTGTTATGTTTTTGGCTCCTTTGTCAAAGATCAAATAGCTGTATGTGCCTGGGGTTGTTTCTGTTTCTTCTGTTCCATTCCATTGATCCACATTCCTGTTTTTGTACCAGATATGTCTTTTATATGTATTGTTAATTGTCCTTTTTCTTCACAAAGGTTTGAGATTGAAATTGAACCCATTTTTGCAAGTTTGGCTTTATATGATGTCAAAGAAAAGAAAAAGGTAAAGTTATGTAATTTGACTGTAGTCACTTGTCATAATCTTAGGTTACAGAAACCTGTTTTTAAGTTGTTTTATAAGATAAATTATGTTTTTGACAATTATTAAAATGGCTCTTTTGAAAGAGAAAATAAAAACTTAATTTATCCAGACTAAATATTTCTTTATTGTGAAATGCCTTGTTTGGAAGCTGATTTTTGTTTTGGTGAACGAGTTTCAGAAGCAAGTAGCAGAAGCAACTTTTGGTTTAAAAAATGAGCAAGACAATACAAGAAAATCATTTTAGGTGATCAGTATGTAAAAGATAAAAATGATGATGACCAGTTTTATTGAAATAGTTTTCAACTTCTCACCAGCTAAGAGGTGATTTATGTATATTTTAAATATTCTATATTAAGTAATGTTCTTAGCTTTTCTATTATGTCTTTATTACCTAGGAGTTTTCAGAGGACTGCCTTGTATAGCATTCCTTAACTTAATATTCTAAGCCTGCATGTAATAGAAACTGAAAGTGTTTCTGGTGACTTCTGCTGTCAACATGTGATATATGATGGATTTCTTGGTGGAACGCTACGCCACTCTTATATTGTTAGATCAAAACTGCTGAGATATTGTTCACATAATTTTTTCTAAGAACTCAGTTTGGAGTCATGCACCTTGATGATACTTTTTTGTATATTTTATCGCAGGTTATATTTTTAATCAAAGGAGTTTGGAATACAATTCTTTGGGGTTTTATTCTCAAATAGTTTATACATTTCTTTTGCTTTGATTTAGACATGTAGATGGTCTTGGTGGAATATAAGATACACTGTAGATTACAGTGTAATGTCCTAATGGCAGTAGTAAGATATGTATGATTTTGTGTTTTAAAAAATTACAGATTTTAAATTTTAATATATGAATGTCTTTTTTAGATTTCAGAAAACTTTTATTTTGACCTTAATTCTGAGCAGATGAAAGGATTGTTACGTCCACACGTACCACCTGCTGCCATTACCACCCTGGCAAGATCAGCTATCTTTTCTATTACTTATCCTTCTCAGGATGTTTTTCTTGTAATAAAGGTGAGACTACCGTTAAATGTATTTTTCTGTTGTACAGTGTCAGTATTCTTGTTCCTGTCAATATTGCAGACTTTTCAAAAGCAAAGATTTGACCTTTATGTATTGTTCCCATCTTGATGTTCCATAACAGAATGTTAGACATGTACTCTAGATGTTACCTAACTTTTTTTAAAAGGAGATTTATGTGAAGCGGAGTTCTCCAGAGATGCAGCACTGGATATATTTCCAAAATTGCTTTACAGGAAGCATTGTGAAGCTGGGAAGTCTGCAGCTGGTAGGGCAGACTGACAGTCTGGAGATCCAGGTAAGAGGAAGCAGGCAAGGTTTCTAAGTGACCGTCTTGAGAAGAACTCCCTTTTCTTGAGGGAAACTCAGTCTTTGCTCTTACTCCTTACAGCTGGATGGATGAAGCCCACCCGCATAATGGCAAGTAGTCTGCTTTACTTAAAGTCTTCTGCTTTAACAGTTAATCACCTCTAAAAAAATATTTTCACAGAAACATTTTTAAAAAAAAATATTTATTTATTTATTTATTTTGGTACCAGGGATTGAACTCTGGTCCTTGTGCTTGCGAGGCAGGCGATGGAACCACTGAGCTAAATCCCCAGCCCTTTAAAAAAAAATTTTGAAACAGGGTCTCACTATGTAGTTCATGCTGGCCTTGAACTTATGTAATCCAGGGTGGCCTTGAACTCATGGTGATCCTCCTGCCTCAGCCTTTCAATTGCTGGGATTACAGGTGTGTGCCACCACACCTGGCTCACAGCACTATTTAGACTTGTGTTTGATTAAACCATTGGGCCTCATAGCCTAGCCAAGTAGACACATAAAATTAACCATCACAGGTACAATCATAGTTTCGTAACTCTGTTTTAAAATCATGTACATATTGACAGCTAAATTGTGATCACGGAGCAATATGGATGTCAGCTGATTAAGTAAAAGGGCTACACATTCTAAAACCTAAATATTACCAAGCTATTTAGTTTAGTACAACTTAAAAAATAATTTATCTTAACTTGACCTTGACTTGAGAGTAGTCTAAGATATATTCCATAATCACTTTATTTATATAAAGTTATCACAAAGAGGTAATGAATTTTATAATAAGGTTATAAAGTAAATTGTCATGAAATGAATCCTTTTACCCACAGGAATAATGTCCTAATTTGTGGGTATATTCCTAAGAATTCAGGTTAAAGTAAATCTTAGTTGCAATGAACAGTCCTAGAAGCAAAGATTAAGCAGCAGTGGTCTTCACTGAGAAGAGTGAAGTTGAAATATTGGTTGCTTCCAAATGAGATTATTTAGTGGCAAGCCTGGCAAGTCATTTTGGCAATGAGTAGCTTAGATAGGATTAGGAGTTTAAAAACCCATTGTATATAAATGTTCAACATAAGGAGATAGAAGAGTAAGTCGTTGTACACTCATATTGTGTACTATGGCCTTTAAAGCTACAATTTGGAAAAACAAATTTTTATGTTATAGGAACGTGTGAGAGAATGTCTGCAAGTCTGATTCAAGCTGTCATACACTTGATCCCAAGTGTAAAATATGCACAGATAGATGTGTACATGCATTTTTATATGGATGCTGGTATATGCACAAACACATACAAATATGTATATATAGAGTTTTCCATATATTCAGAAAAAGAACAAGCAAATTAAATTTTAAAGGAAATATATTTAGGAAATTAAATTTTCTTTCGTTATTTGTTGCCTGTCAGAAGTGCCAAGGAATGGGTTCAGGTGCATAGGTGCTTTACAAGTCTTGGGTTGTATCCCACCAGCTAACAAGAGGTCACCCAAAAGAATACCATCGTCAGTCTTTTCAAATTGGAATGTTTGCTTGGTCTCTTCATAAGGTTATAAAGTTAGCAGCTGGGAGGATCTGCAGTGTCGTGTAGCAGAGGGAAGGATGAATGAAGGGTGAGGAATTGGGTCTAGTAGTGAAGTCTCACTGGTACAGCAGTGGTGAACCTATAGCATGTGTGCTGCAGCAGGCTGCTTGTATCATTGAAAGCTCTAAAAGGTTCACCATCGTTTGGATTCTGGTTCGGCTAGGATTATTAATTCCTTGCTTATTTTTATGCTCTCTTTATTAGGATAGATACTTTCTGGTTAAATATATGAAGGGGTTACACCATTATGTTTGGATATTTTTTTGCTACTGGGGATCGAACTCGGGACCTTGCGCTTGTGAGGCAGGCGCAACACCACTGAACTAAATCCCCAGCCCTGGATTATTTTTTGAGTACACCTGATATTTTGGAGGACAAAAATACAAAGCACTTTGAAAGAAAACCATAAATAAAACAAAATATGGATTACAACAGGCTAATTTTCATAAAGTTCACTTAAAATGATTTTAATTATTTTTTATTGAAGTATGACATGATTATAAAAGGGATTCTAGAAGTTATAAATATGTAGTTTGACTAATTGTCCTACAGCACACTTATATGACCTGCCAGCTAGGTAAAGAAATAAGGAGGAGAATCTGAGAGACCACCACCCCTGTGACCCATGCTGTTGCCTGGGCCTCTGTCCTCCATGCTTTGGGCCTGTTTCTTGAATGTGTAACAGAGTCAAAGAGGGTATATACTTTTTGGCCTCCTTTCTTCCATTCAACATGACTATGTGATTAGTCCATTTTGTTGTATGCAACAGTTTTAAAATTCATTTTCATTGCTTCATAGTATTTTATAGTATGAATATATCCCAGTTTGTTCATTTTACTGGTGATGGATATTTTGGTTCATTTAAATTTTCTCTTGGTAATTCTGTAAACATCTGTAGTCCATTAAGTTGATGTTTGTACTCATTTCTGTTTAGTATATTTGTAGGAGTAGAATTACAGAGTCAAAGGGTATTTGCCTGTGAGCTCTGATGGATGCTGCTGCACAAATTTCCAAAGTCTCTAATAATTGTGTCTTCTCCAACAGTGAATACAAGTTCCAATTGTTCACACTTGGCATTTATTAAAATCTTAAAATATAAAATACATACAATGATATCTGTAAAATACCCATATTTGAGGTGGACAGCTTGATGAAGTCTTCCCTATGTATTTGCCAGCATAATCACTGCTGAGCCCAAGTTTTACTTATGTATATAGCTCCATCCACCATCCTGGAGGGCTCTCATTTCTCTTTCATGACTACCCCTCCCTTTCACCAGATAGCTGGTATCCTAATTTCTGCCACCGTCACTTAACATTTTTTTCCTGAATTTCATATGATACAATCATATGACATGCAATCTTTTGTCCATAGGTTCTTTCAGTATATTATCTGTACTGCTTTTAGCTATTATAAGTAATGCTGCTACAAACATTCTTCCATGTGAGTTTTGGCCCAAATATGTTTGTACTTCTGTTGAGTATGTAGATAGGGACTGAATTACCAGAATATAGGGTAGTATTTATAAGTTAATCACAGTAGAAATAGGTAGTTTTCCAACATTAGTCCAGTTTATACTCTCATCAATAATGCTTGAGAATTTTAGATGTTGCATTTCCTTCTCAACATTTGTTATCATCAGATTTTATTTTATTTAACGTTGTAACTTCTTTAATTTTATTATTTTATTTCTGGTACATTGTGAGGTTATATCAATTTGATTTTAATTTATAATTCTATAATGGCTAAGAGTGTTGAATAATTTACTCGCCATTTGGATATTCTGTTTTGTGAAGTGCTCATGAATTTGACTACTTCAGCTACCTCACATAAGTGGAAGCACACGTATTTGTCTTTTTGTGACTGGCTTATTTCACTTAGCATGAGATCTTAAGGTTCATCCAGGCTGTAACATATGTTGGTATTTCCTTCCTTTTGAAAGTTGAGTAATATATATATATATTTTTTTCACATTTATTTGCCCATCTAACTAAGTTGATGGACACTACAGTTGCTTCTGCCTCTTGGCTGTTGTCAGTGGTGCGGTTAGGAACACAGGTGTAGAGATCTGTTTGAGTCCTTGATGTGAATTCTTTTGGGTCCAGACTAGGGGCGTAGCTGAGTGCAAGGTCTTGCATTTAATTCCCAGTACGCCCTGCCGTACAAAGAAATAATTACAAAAATGTGTCCAATATTCTCAGTTTTTCTGGATCTACAGCTGGAAATCGAATTGCTGGATTATATGGTTACTCTGTTCTTTAATTTTTTGAGGACACTTTCTCCTAGTGCCTCGAGCATTTCACTTTTCCACCAGCAATGGGCAAGGGTTCCAGTTTCTTCACATCCTCACTAACACGTGTTATTTTGTTTTTTTATAATGCTCATCCTGATGGTTATCATTGTGATTATGATTTTAATTTCTCTAATGATTTGTAATTCTGAGCTTAATTTCATATACTTCTTGGCCATTTGTGTAACTTCTTTTGTTTGGGTTTTTTTGTTTGTTTTTTGTTTTTCGGTACCAGGGATCGAACTCGGGTCCTTGCGCTTGCGCAGCAGGCGGCAAAACCACTGAGCAAATCCCTGGCCCTGTGTAATTTCTTTTGAAAAATACCTGTTTAGTTCTTTTGGGATTTTTTTCTTTTGTTTTGATACCGGAGATTGAACTCAGGACCTTGCGCTTGTGAGGCAGGCAGCGGAACCACTGAGCTAAATCCCCGGCCCTCTTTTTCAGTCAGATTTTTTTGTTGTTCTTGAGTTGTAGGAGTTCTTTATCCTTTCTAGATACTAATTTCTGTCGGATAAATACTTTGTAGATATTTTCTCCCATTCTTAGGATGCCCTTTCATTTTGTTTATTTTGTCCTTTGATGTAGTAAATGTAACTTTTAATGTAGTTCAGTTTATCTGTTTTTACTTACATTGCCTGTGGTTTTGGTGTCTTAATTCAAGAAATCATTATCAAATCCAATGTCATGAAGCTTTTTCCATAGGTTGTTTTCTAGGAGTTTTATAGTTTTAGCTCTAAAATTGAAAGTTTCTCTTTGTCTAGTACTTTTTCTGTAGTTGAGATGGTCATTCCCTCCCCATCATTTTGTTAATGTGTAGTGTATTACATTCATTTTAATATATTGAACCATCTTTACTTTTCAGGTTGACTGTTTTCATTAAGAGTAATTAATCTTTACATTTTTGCCTTTGACAGCTAGAAAAAGTTCTGCAGCAAGGAGACATTGGAGAGTGTGCAGAGCCATATATGATTTTCAAAGAAGCCGATGCCACCAAGGTAGAGTGTCATGCTTGCACTCTCCTCTGTTGTTGTAATTTGGGAGAAAAACTACAAAGCATGTAAAAGAATTTTCCTACTAATCCATTTTTTATTTTGGCCTACTTCCTTGTCTTCCTTTTTCTTTTTTTTGGTACCGGGGATCGAACTCGGGACCTTCCACTTGCAAGGCAGGCAGTCGAACCACTGTGCTAAATCCCTAGCCCCTTCCTTCCTTTTTCTTATTTCCTTTGCCATGTAGCTTTTGCCATGAACTATGCTATTTTAAAATCCCTCCCATCTCAAGACTAATTAATTTGTTAAAATATTCTTGACTAAAACTAAGTTAATTTAGTTTAACTCTTAAATAATTAAAATTTTCCTTATTTACAAAATAGTGATTTTGATGGAATTTTTCCTAGCAAATAATATTCCTAGCTTCCATCTGACTGGAAGGAATTAAGAAATACAGTAAAAATAGAAAATATAATATCTTTGTCTTGCCACCAGATGACTCATTTATAGAATTTGGATAAACTTGCAAAAACTAATAATGATAATTGAATAATGAATACCAAATTCTGCATTACCTTGAGTTAGCTACTACAATACAAGTGATCCTTGAATTTTTGAACACAAGACTTAGTGCTGTAACAACTAGCCCAGCAATGCTTGAGGAATGCTGAGTAAGCCACTGAAATCTAGAAAATGTTTTGCTTCCTGTGTTGCTGACATTCAGAATAAGATCTGCACCTGTTCTGCTAAGGTCGGTAGATCTGAGCACATGATAGTCTTCTCCGATTCTTGGCTGCTTCACTGTGTAGAAGTATTCTGGCTTTTTCCAGGTTGTCATTTTACAGACTCAGTTTGCTCTGTTATATAGAGCTCAGAAAATATGAACATACTATATATCAGGTTATTTCATTTTTCTTTAAACATTTACATACACAAATTTACATGCATACATTTATACTGACAGATTTAAGTATACGTGCTTGATAGGCTGCTTTTTGTATTTTCTATTTTTGGTCCTGGGAAATCCAACTCAGAACCGTGCACTTGTGAGGCAGGTGTGGTGCCACTGTGCTAAATCCCCAGCCCTTGATAGGCTCTTAAAGGAAGAACCTCTTTTGGAGGCATAATTGATAGCAGTAGTAAACATTGTTACCGTCTGGCTAGCTTTTCCTCTTTCCCAGCCCTGAGTCCCAAGGCAGAGTGTTGCCATTAGTGCATTCCTTACCGACATCCTGTGTGGAAAGGGTATGTGAGGATGTGGTTTGACTCTTGCAGTCTACCTTCGTGGTTGTTTTCAGAGTGTCCAAAAGCTTGATCCAGCATCATGCCTTGGACTATTATTTTCCAGGGTTTAGTCCTCGTATAATACTCTTTTTCTTCTATTACAATTCGGGATTTATCATTGACCTGTTTGTGTCTTCTCTCCACTCCCACCTCGTGGTTGACATCAGTTAGGACTATTTTCAGATTGGATCAGCCACTCCACTTCCATTTTATGTAGAGGGACAAAGTTTAACAAATCCTAACCTAGAATATATTATAGCTGGCAGTTGCCAACTAGACTATGGTTATGGTACCTTTCCTAAAGTAATATGCACTGTACATAAAAATGGGTGACATTTGATCTCTTTTTTTCCCAAGATGACATAATCACAAACTGAAATTTCAGACTTCCTCACCTACACATTTGTAGAGTGAATTGAGATTATTCCTTTGTTGAGATAATAGATAGTTATCTGATCTCTGAAAGACACAGATTGTTTTTCTTTCTCTGCTGAGAACTGAGAACTCTTGAATTGTTTTCTTTCAAGAATACTCACGTATTAAGTTCTGTTTTGCAGAATAAGGAGAAATTGGAGAAGCTGAAAAGTCTAGCAGATCAGTTTTGCCAAAGACTTGGGAAATATCGCATGCCATTTGCTTGGACTGCAATCCATTTAATGAATATTGTTAGCAGTGCTGGCAGTTTAGAAAGAGACTCTGCAGAAGTAGAAATCAGTACTGGAGGTAAGAGTTTTTAGTAGAATATTTTTCTAAATGTATATCTTTTTCTTTTTCTCTTTTATAGGCTTGTTATATTTTTGGATTCTGAATGTGATGTGGCATAAAAAGGATTTTCTTTTTTGGGGGCCCTTTTTCATTTAAGTCTTTGGAAATATAATTCACTTATATACAGTTCACCTTTTTATTATTATTATTATTATTATTATTATTATTTTTTTTTTTTTGGTACTGGGGATTGAACTTGGTTCCCTGTGCTTGTGCAGCAGGTGGCGAAACCGCTGAGCTAAATCCCCAGCCCCAGTTCACCTTTTTAAAGGGTACAGTACAATTGTTTTTGCTATGTTCACAGTGTTCTGCAACCACTACCACAACCTCATTTTGGAGCAGTGTTTAACCCACTAGCAGTCCCTCCACATTCCAGATGTAGCCTTAAATGACCACTAGTGTATTTTCTGTCTTTATGGATTTGCCTATGCCAGATATTTCCCATACATAGAATTGTACAATATGTGGTCTTCTGTGGCTAGTTTTTTTCACTTAGCAAAATATTTTCTTAAGGTTCATCCATGTCCTATCATGTATCAATATTTAATTTCTTTTTATTGCCAAAATGACAGTCCACTGTATCAATATATTGTGTTTCATCTATCGGTTCATCAGTTGATGGTCATCTGGGCTGTTTGCACATTCTGGTTGTTACAAATTATGTTTCAGTGAACATTCATGTACAGTCTTTTATGTGGATATGTTATTTCCTTTAACTGAAATTGTTGGATCATATAATAATTCTCTATTCAACCTTTTGAGAAAGTGCCAGACAATCTTCTAGTACAACCACATTTTCAAAAATTCGAGCATTGTGTGAAAATTCCAGTTTCTCCATATCTTTGCTAGTACTTGTCATTTCTTTTGATGATAGCCATTCTAGTGCGGGTGAAGTGGTATCTCACTGAAGTTTGGATTTGCCTTTCCTGATAGCTAACGATGTTAAGCATCATCTTGTGTGTAGCGGTGATTTCTGTGTCATCCTTAGAGGAATTTATATTCATGTTCTTTGCCTATATTTAATGACTTTGTTGTCTTTTCATTATTTCATTGATGCTTGATTTTAAAAAGGGTTTTTTGTTTTTTTGTGTTGGAGTTGTATACATTCTTTGTATGTCTGGATACAGATACCTTATCTAATATGTGATTTGAAAATATTTTCTTCTATTCGGGATTTTCTTTTCTTGATAGTGTTGTTTATACTACAGAGGTTTAAGTTTTGTTGCTGTGCTTTTGGTGGTACTGGATATGTAAGAAACTGTTACCTTACCCACAATCAAGGAGAATTACTTGTTTGCGTTTATTGCCTTGCTTTTTGGTATATGTAAGAAATTAATACTTAAGATCAAGAAGAATTACTTGTATATTTTCTTCTAAGAGTGGTGTAGTTTTAGCTCGTACCATAGTGTGAGGTAAGGGTCCAACCTCCTCCTCCTCCTCCTCCTCCTCTTCCTCCTCCTCCTCCTCTTCCTCCTCCTGCTCGCCTTCTCCTTGCCTTCTCTCTTCCCTTCTCTTCTTCCTCCTCCTCCCCCTCTCTCTTGTCTTACTCTTCCTCCTTGTTATCTTACTCTTCTTTTAATTGCAATATTAGGGGACCCCCAGGGCCTTTGGACTGAGCTGTCTCCACAGCACCCCCCCATTTCTTAAACTTTTTTTTGACACGGGATCTTGATAAGTTGACTCAGGCTGGCCTCCAGCTTCTGATCCTCCTACCTCAGCCTGCCAGAGTGCTGGGATTGCAGGTGAGACTGCAGGTGCACATCACTAGACCTCCCCACCTTCATTTTTAAAATGTGTGTGCCCACTTGTGGAAAAGGCTGTTCTTCACCCATTGAATGGTCTTAGCACCCTTGTCAAAACTCAGTTGACCATATATGTGTGGGTTTATGTCTAGACTCTCATCCTAGTCCATTGATCTATAAGCCTTTATTCCAGGGCTATCCTGTGTTACTTTAGCTTTCAGTTAAGTTTTGAAATTGAGAAGAATGGATCCTTGAACTTTGGTACCCTCTTTCAGATTGTTTTGCTTATTTTGGATTCCTTGTATTTTCATATGAAATTTTGCATTGGCTCTCAGTTTCTGCACAGGAAGGTTTTGGGATTTTGATAGGACTTCCATTGACTATAACTCAATTTATAGGTTATTGCCATCTTAGCGTTACTAAGTCTGAATCCAGCAATAAGGTTTTCCATTTATTGAAAGTATTTTCCTACATTGTATGGTTTTCAGGGGATGGTTTGCCTTTTTCCTGTTAAGTTTACACCCAGGGGGCCCTCAGGAGGTTGTGGGATGCAGTGCGTGTGGATGGCCCTTGGGAGGTGCCCAGGGCCTCACTAGGACCCAAGCATAGACTCTGCTCTGAGTTCGAGTCACCTCCCTTACGTAGTTGTCCTCTTCCTGCTTGCCTCTACTGTTTTGTGCCCTGCGAGGACTTGGGCTGGACCTCTTTGGCTGCACTGTGCTCCCGCCGGTGGTATCTGTTGGAAATGTTGGCCCCCTTGCAGTAGATATGATTATTTTTACACAGAAGTGGTCTAAGATTGGTTACTTTTCTACTGATTGGTGCCAGTGGTTGGAAACAATCCAGACGGAGCAGCAGAAGAAATTCACAGAACTTGGTTTAAGTGCTGAAGTATAGTCACTGCCTTCAAAAAGTTAATGGATCTATTAAGTATATTAACTATAAAGTTTTCATATATGTTCTTTATGACGTCGAAGAAATTTCCCTCTATTCTTAGTTTACTAAGAATTTTTGTCATGTGTGGATGTTGGGATTTTGTGAAATACTTTTTCTGAACCCATTGATATGGTGGTATGATTACTCTTCTTTAGCCTGCTAATATGACTGATTGAATTAATAGATTTCTAAATGTTGAACTAGGGGTAGGGAGGACAGGGGAAGGGAATGAAAAAAGAATGTGTCATGTACATGTACCTACTTTCCGTGACAAATTAATCATTTTGTACTGGAAACATGTACTAATAAAAATTTTTTAAAAAAGGTTAATGGCTCTAGAGTTAAGATCTGTTTTTATTAAGTATAAATCCAAGTTATTCTGTGAAAAAAATCCTTTCCTGGCTGAAAAGTAGCAGCTTTGCCAGAGTTGCTGTTCTTTTTCAGGAGTCTCATAGCAATGGAGAGCTCCCTTCCAGTACCTGCTTACACCTTGTATGCAGAAAAGTGCTCTGAATAAAATAAAGAGCTTTAACTGGCAAGAAATGGGAAAAGCTCCATGCGTTATTGAAATGAATGATTTTGGTCACTGTGTCCAGATTCCAGAGGAGGGACCTCAAGAGCATTCTGTGAGGAAAGCTGTTGTCAAGAAACCCAAAAGGAGGGGCTGCTGACAGTTGTGTCTGAGGGGGACAACATCCAGGGTGCAGAGGGTCTTGCTGAGTACCTTAACAAGTGGCTGCAGAGAATTAAAAGGCCGCAGAGTGATGACCCTGCACCGTCTACCTTGCCTTGGAAAATGCCGAGTTCTTGGAAATTACTCTGGGGCAGTGGTCTTCTCCTGCACTTTTAAAATCACTTTTTAAATCTGTTTTCACCAGTTTTATATTGTGTGTCCTGAGAAACTTACTATCTACACAACTGTTAAACAGTCTGTGTAAAAATCATACTGCCTAAGAATGTATTAGGAAATAGATACTTTTCATAGAAAATGTTAGAGAAAAATGAATTAACAAAAGGTCTTTTCTTGTGCCTTTCATCATCTACAAATATAAAATTTGTACAATAAAATTTATTTTCTTTTTCTTTTTTCTTTTTTTTGTGGTACTGGGGATCGAACTCAGGACCTTGTGTTTGCTAGGCAGGCACGGTGCCACTGAGCTACATCCCTGGCCTCCATAAAATTTATTTTCTAAGTAAAAAATAAATTTACATCCAGGTGTTCTGTTGTATTTTGACATTATTTTTAAATGAAATTAATATATATATCCATTTCTAATCTTTACAAATACAGTTGACTTTTGTATATTGATCTTGTACTCTGAAACATTTCTTTGAACTTGTTTATTCCAATTGTTTGAAAATCCCAGGTTCTTAAGGATTTTCTGTGTATAAGATTATGTCACCTGCAAATAAAAGTAGGCTCATTTTTTTCAATCCAGATGCCTTTTTAAATTTTTCTTTTCTAATGTCTTTAACTAGAACCTCCTGTGAAATGTTAAATCCAAAGGGCAAGAGTGGGTATACATGCCTCCTTCCCAACCTTAAGGCAGATCCCTTCAGCCTTTTGCCATCAAGTATGGCGTTTGCTGTAGGCCCTCCCTCCACCGTCTCTTTCCTCCTGCAGCTTTTTTCCAAAGTGAAATTTTTCTACTGTAATCAGTATGCTGGGTATATAATTTTTAGCATTAATGGATACGGTGTTTGGAAAGGTGCTTTAAATAGATTTTTAATTTTATGAACATGAATATTTTACTTCTTTCTCTTGGTAGAACGAAAAGGGTCTTGGTCAGAGAGGAGGAATTCTAGTCTTGTGGGCAGGCGATCACTTGAAAGGACAACAAGTGGAGATGATGCTTGCAACTTGACTGGCTTTCGACCTGCCACTCTCACAGTGACAAATTTCTTTAAGCAGGTATTGTTCTGTCATGTAGGGATTCTGGGGAAATATTTGTAAATAAGTTTAGTTCCTGAAGGGTAGTAATTGTACTCATACATGAATATGATTTCAAGAGCCTTCAAAAACTTGAAGATAAAAATAAAAAGAATAACAAAAGTAAGAACTGTAAGAATAAGAAATAATTTTGGTATATGCATGTAATCACAGGAGCTCGGGTCACGGCAGGAAGATCACAAGTTTAAGGCCTGCGTGGGCAACTTAATGCAACCGCCTTTCAAAATAAATAAAAAGGGCGCAGGGAGGTTCCGTCACCAGTGCTGGGGGACAGAATAAGAAATAATTAACTTTATATTGTGTGTGTTGTTCTAGCGTTATATATAGTTTTTAAATATTGACCTTGACATTATGAATTCATCACAGTTAATCTTTCACACCTGTATCTTATTTCTCAATTTTAATAATGTAGCTTTTCTTAAATGTTGATAGTGTCTGGGTTTCTGTAGTGCGAGTGCTTTCATCTGTCTTCTGCAGTGAAGTTTTTCTGACCCAAACTACCATACCTGGTTTGTGAAATAGAACTTTTTAGGACTTCATATACATTTCTGTTCCAAAACACAATCGGTGCTTCTCCTCTTCAGATCAGATCAGTGTTTTCCAGTGCCAGTCATCACCTTGATTTTTGGTCTTAGTGATAGGATAGTTGTGCTTTTCCTTAACAGTAGATTTTTATTTATTTATTTACTTTTTTTAGTAGGTTTTTTTTTAATGAGTTCTTTTTTTAAAAATTTAGCTACTTGGTAGATTTTTGCATTTGAGGATCAGGTGATATGTGGAGTTGAAAAGACAAATATAAACTCAAGCATAATGATTTTATGACTATATTTTTACACTAGTCTGCTTTTTAAAATTCTGTTTTATGTCTGTATTTTTATTTTTCCTTTCCCTTTTTATCTATCTCAAACTTGTATGGTTTTCTATATCTTACAGTATTTTATAGTACTTTTTTGCCATAGATAATGGAATATATATGAATATATAAGATAAAAAATGGTCTTAAAAATCTTAGTAAAATTTGGAAGCACTAAAGAAAAGGAAATAAATCAGGATATTTGGACTCATGCTCATTTTTTATTCTATCTCAGTGTAGCAGAAGTGCATGCTTATGAGCAAACAATGTAACTTCAGTTCCCACCTGCTAGAGCTGTTTTATCAAGTCCTTTTTTCTCTGTCATTGAAATCAGGAAGGAGACCGCTTAAGTGATGAAGATCTGTACAAATTCCTTGCTGATATGAGAAGGCCATCTTCTGTCTTGCGGCGACTGAGACCTATTACAGGTATTTTTCATCTTTGATTAGATGTGATTATATCTGTTGTTACCACTAATGTATTATACTGCCTGTAAGCGTGCATTCCTTCTTTTTCAGTTATCTGGCTCATACATTTTTCTGTGCTTAGTAGCTGTCAGTCTTCTTCAACTCATTAGTTATTATGTATTCTAACAGTTTGGATGCAGGATTCAGCACCTTTGATAATTTGAGTTGTGTAATGATAATGATGAATAATATTGTGGCTTAAAATTATTTTCTTGAGAGAAAAATGCACGTGGAATGGTGAATATTCAGAAACATTCATACTATTTTTGGAGCAAATCATTTCAGAGTAAAATTAGTTTGAAGTTTGCCAAGCCAAAATTAAATCACTTAATCTTTAAACGTTGGCTAGTTGAAATTCCAGATCCTTTTTCTGTTTTTTCTTCTTTTTTAAAATCTCTTTTCCATTCAGTCAGAGAGCAGTTATTTTACATGGATTTGTATGTATATTAGTAATTTTTAAGTTTAAAATTTGGTAAAATGAAATAATTTAGATGTCTGAGATGATAGTAGTTGGGTTTCTGTGTATTATGCCCAGACTTACTGCAAAATAGGGTCTGAATCTTTTTAAAAACATTTTTATTATGTTTTAGTCAGCTTTCTGCAACTGTGACAAATTATCTGAGAAAGATCAGCTTAAAACAAGGAAAGCTTTTTTTTTTGGTACTGGGGATCGAACTCAGGTCCTTGCGCTTGCGAGGCAGGCGGTGGAACCGCTGAGCTAAATCCCTGGCCCAGGAAAGCTTTTTCTTGGCTTGCAGTTTCAGAGGTTTAAGTCTGTGGTTGGACTTGTGTGGTTGGATTGCCTTTGGGCCCTTGGCTAGGCAGGGTATCATGGTGGAAAGCACATGGTAGAGCAGAGCTTCCCACCTTGTGGCTGTTGGGAAGCAAAGCGCAGGAGAAAAGGGCCAGGTTCCACAAACCCCCTCCCAGGCCAGTCTCCCCCAGCATCACCTTTCCCACTGGGTCCCACCTCCTGAGGTTTTACTGGCTTTAGCGGAGCACAGGCTGGCAGCCAGGACTTTGCTGATGGGTCTTTGAGGGATACTTCAGATTCAAACTATAGCAATTATAAACTCTTTATTTATTGTGTTTACATTGTTTTTATAATATATTTTAATATGCAGCTCAGCTGAAGATAGACATTTCTCCTGCTCCTGAAAATCCCCATTACTGCTTAACCCCAGAACTGCTTCAAGTGAAGCTGTACCCCGACAGCAGAGTCAGACCTACTCGGGAAATTTTAGAGTTTCCTGCTCGAGATGTCTATGTACCAAACACTACTTACAGGTAAGTGATTTTAATTTTTTGAAAATTTTGAGATATGATATCCATTTTAATATTAAAGTAGAACTAGAATGAAACTCTTCAGAAAACTTATGTATCCTTTTTGCATATTCTGTTTCTTAGTTCATAATTTTATTAATAACCATCATAAAACTTTACTGTGTGCCAGGTATCTTATTTCAGCCTTGTAGTTTGGAGAGAGCATTGCTGTGCACCACTCTTCACAGTAGTGGTGGCTGGCATTTAACCTTTAGTCTGTTACATTAAAACATTGCAGTTCATTTTTACTGTAATCCCTCAAATATCCGTTGTTAATACATATAGTATTACACCTGAATCAAAGCTCTATGCCTGCATTGTGTTCTAACAGTCAACAATGTTTGTCATGTATGTACCACGTAAAGAATAGTGGATGCAAAGTTGGTAGCTGTGACTCTGCAGGCTGAGCACTGACAACCCCAAGGGTATGACTTGCATGTATTCTGTGTGCCTGACGTCTCCATGTCGCGATGCTGAGAGCCTGACCTGACGCAACTGCTGCACTCCCCAGTAAGGCAGTTGTGGCTTGGCATTCTGAAGCGGAACTTTACAGCCTCACCCCAGACCTGCCCATCCTACTGTAGTTTACTGCCACTCACCAGGCCTTTGTGCGAGTGTTTTGGCCTTGGACTTGCCATCCCCCTGCCTTGGCCTGGCAGGCGCTAGGATTACAGGCCTGTGCCACCACCGCTGGCTCTTTCTTGTGTTTTTGTGTGCTATCACTAAAACCCTAAAACCTCTTGCAGTATAGTGAAAGACAGCAAGTAATCATTTCCCCACTTACAACTTGATGAAGTTTCCTGGGCTTATTAGGCTTAGTGTATAGTTGCGCTCATGAGGCCTGTTTTCCACCATCATGGAAATACTGTTTGCATTTTCTTTTGTGGTGGTGTTGTTGTTTTTTTCTTTCTGCCTTACTCATTTTACTGAAAGCCTCCTGTATCTCCCTAAAATAGGACATGTGAAGGCAAATATTTTTGAGATCTTTTGTTTGACAGTATCTTTAGGCTTTTGAGATGGAGTCTCACTAGGTTGCCTAGGCTGGCTTGCAATAACTCCTAGGTTCAGGTGATCTTCCAGCTTCAGCCTTTCAAATCACTGGGTTAGGGCTGTGCATGTCTGCACTTGGCTCTGTGGTTTTAACTCTCAGATTGATAGTTTTGCTAGGTACGAAAATTCTAAATTATAGAATAATTTTTGGGCTGGAGATTTGGCTCAGTGGTGCCACCACCTGCCTCATAAGCGCAGGGTCCTGAATTCAATCCCTGGTACCAAAAAAAAAAAAAAGAAGAATACTTTTTTGTCACAAGTTTGAAAATATAGCCAGTCTTCTGCTTTTGGTGCTTTTAAGTAGTCTGATATAATTCTGATTGCTGGTCATTTGTGTCTTATTTTTCCTCTGAGGACTTTCTGAGTTATTTTCTTCATCCCTTATGTTCTGAAATTTCATAATGATAATATTTATTTAGTGATCAGTAAGTGATAACATTTATGTAGTGCTTTATAGTATGCAAATTGTTTTCATTGAAACTACTTTATTCAGTCTCAGCTTATAAATTAATTCTAGCAGTGTTATTATTTCCACTTATAAGTGAGAAAAATAAAGCTGAGATTAAGACACTTGTCTTGAATCTAGGCCTTCTTAATTTTCTCTTCCTCATTCTTTGCAATAATAGGACATCTGATATTTATAAGTATAAATTCAGTTAAAATTTCTCATTGCTAGATAACTTCCTACATTTTTATTTATTTTTTATTGTTATTTTTTTGGTACTGGGGATCGAACTTGGGTCCTTGTGCTTGCGCAGCAGGTGACAAATCCACTGAGCTAAATCCTGGCCCTCTACATTTTTATTAAAGCTGCCAGAACAAGTTCATTTCATATTTTTCTCAAAATCTGTTATTGTTTAATCATTTTTAATATCTTAGAGTTTATCTAAGTGCAACACTTAATTGTACATGTCATTATAGAGAATAATATCTATTAACTAGTGGAAACTAGGGTCAGTATAGAACATCATGTTAAGAACTTAAATGGGAATTGAGTCGTGAGAAATGAGAAGATAGCTTGCTCAATAAAGTAGAACATTATTTGCTCTTAAGTATTGTATTCATCAGCTTTCCCTTTGCTGGAGACAATTCCCAGTACTCACAATTTAAAGGAATAAAGGGTTAATTTGGCTCATCTTTTAAGAGGATTCAGTCCATGGTTGGCAGATCTTCAGGCAGAAACATCATGATGGAAGGGCATAGTGGAGCAAAGCTGCTCAACTCATGACTGCCAGGAAGCAGAGCAAGAGAACAGAGCCAGAGAGGATGAGGTCAGGGCCCAAATGTAGTATTTAATGTTACACCTCCTCGACCCACCCAGAAACACCTAGAAGTGTGCTTCACCAATCCAGCAATCTGGGCAGATCTCAAAGTCAGTCACGTTGACAATACTAACTACCAGTAGTATGTATCCATTTTTAATGTACCATCCCCTTCTGGAAGAGATAAAAAGTGAGTACAGTACATCAAAAGATTTAAATATAGTTTATAAATTGTAAGTTAAAATGATTTTACTTTTTGAGTTTATGCAATTTGTGTAAGCATGTGCTAGCTTTTTAAGGTAACTTGTTTATTTGCATTTGCTTCTGGTTTTTATCATTAAATGCTTTATCATTTGATTAGCATTGTTAAGGGTAATTGGTAGTCCGAAAGTGAATTAGTTTTTGTTCTGAAAGTAAATTTTTCAGGTAAAGGAATGAAGCCTAGCCTATTAGTTTGAGAGTGATCTTGAGAGATTACTTGGTGTATCTCAGTGTTATTAGTTTGGACTGTATGTCAGTTACAGAATTGATGTTCATTATAGACATCACTGTTGTAAATAATATTCTCGGCAAAAGTCTCCTTAAAAGTAGGTTTATTAAATGTGTAAATAAGAACTTTTCCTTCTCTCAGTAGTTTATTCCCAGAGAAAATAGAACTTGTTAGGCTCATTGAGATTAGATTTATTCTTATTTAACAGTGAATATTAGGTTTTAATATTTTTCATCAAGGTAAATTGGCTTTAGATTAGAGTTTGTGTAATAACCTTTCTGGTTGTGTACAGTTTTTAAGAACTCATGTAAAATTCTTTGACCTATTAACCAAATTGGTAAATTATGATAGAGGATGTCAAAGTTACTGTGTTTCTTAGTTTTTGGAGATGATATAGTGCTTTTAATAATACATTATCAGTAAGATGTATTGAAAGAGGGTAATATTGGGAGTGGGGTTGGAAGAAGAAAAAGAAGGTAGTATAATTTCAGGAAAGATTAATAATTTTGTGGTATAAGAGTATCCTCAGGGAAGTAAAGTGAAATACATGTAAATACAGAAGTAGAATTGCAGTTAACAGTGGTTTATTGGTTTTGGGTTTTTTTGTCCCATTACTGTTTTCTGGAAATGTTTCTTTTCTCTTTTTGAAAAGATAGAATAACTATAAAGTTGATTGTTTCCTTTTAAGAAAATCAGTCTCCAAATAATGTAAGGAAATAATAATGTTTGTGTTACTTGAAATTGTGTGACTATGCATTAGCTTATGAGATTGGCTCCTATCATATTTTGTAACCATATTTCATTTTAAGACATTATTTAAACTGAGGTTGACTAGTTTTCTTTTGTTTAACATGGGGATGATATAATTACCTGTGTGTTAGAAATTTGTGAGAATCAAAGACCTGTGAAGTGCACAGCAGAAACTAAAGTGCCTGGCACGTGTAAGTGCTCCATAGATGTTAGTCATTATCAGTACCATTGATGTTTTTAGATTTACCAGTGCCTTATACAGCTTGAATGGGATTGGTTTGACAAGCATGAGGGTACTGGGCTATTACAGTGTAAGTAGATAAGAGAATGACTTTATAAAGGAGGTTATCAAAGTCCACATTGGCCTGATTTGTGCTATCGCCTGGACCTTCATTCAGTGTCTGTGACACCTGAAAACCAAATCATGCTCATTGCTTAGAAAAACTGTGTCTGCTGGCTAGCTGATGTATGTAGAAGTTTAGTTTATTTAGAAATCTTTTTTTTTCTTAGATTCTTTTATTGGTACATTTTAGGTATACAGTACGTTTACATTTATCGTTGGGTGCTTGTATATTTAGAAATCTTTAGCATAGCTGGAAAACCTAGCATGGGTAGAAATAATTTTGTAATGATAAAAGGGGATGCATGACACTCTCAACAGGTAACAGTTAACATACAGATGTCAATAATTTACAGAACATTCCGTAAATATGTGGAAACTAAATGGTTTACTGGATCACAATAACAGCAGTGGTGCCAACAACAACAACATTATTTTAGCCCATTTGGATTCTTCTTACCTTCTCTGGAATGTTTTGGGGTATTTCTTCATTTCTGGTTACAGACAGCAGCAGTCATACAAATCCATAGTCTACATTTTCCCAGCAATAGAAAATAAAGTTGACAGTAGGGCTCCTTTTGGTTAATATGTGGTCATTATCCATTAACTCTGCATAGCAACTGGTTAAGAACCACCAATATGATTGCCCTTGTTTTACAGATGATGAAGCTGAAGTTCCAGAGAACTCAGATTTGTAACTAAAAAAGCTAGCAGTTTAAACATTTTAAATGTAGATTTTTAAGAAAATGTTTCCATGTGGTATTTAGTTTTAGTAAAAAAAAAAAACTTTAGAGGATTGTGAATGGTTCCGTGGGGAAAAATGATAAAAATGTCTTAATGGGAGAAAGATTGGCAATGATTGAACCAAATATTTGATTGAGATGAAAAATGGTAGGAAAATCATGTTCTAAAAGTACAGATTTCCTGTTAACACTTTTCACTTCCAACTTTTATGTTCATTATCAGTTTAGAGAAAACTGACTAATGGGTATATTTTCATTTAATTTGTGTTTGCTGTAGACTTTTTGAAAACTTCGCTGCTTTGGGTGGAGGGTACTGAGGATCAAACTTG